CCTAATTTTATAGAATATAAAAGGGTAAATTAAAACATATTAGCATTGAGGTTGAACATGTTGCTAATGTTCATTGTAGTAGCTGGGTAAATATCAACTCTATTATTTTCAGCTATGTAATCAAATCTTTGTTGATTTTAGAAAATAAGTAGTCCAATAATGTCACTTGGCATTCATTTCCAAAAAAGAACCTCATAAATAATACCAAAAAGCTTGTAAGTGGGGAAACTTAAAATAATATAGGCTACATTATGGATAGAGGTCATTTGTACATTGCTTAGGTATATTTTATAGTACAGTCTTACATAGGAAGTGACCTTCTATTTAAAAGGCTTCCATTCTGGGTTGGGAGCTATCTTCGACGACCCACAAATTTGAATTTAAGATCAAGAGAGAGTTCATATTGCTTTTCTTCCCACTCCCCCTAGTCGAAACAATTGCATCTGTATAAAGTCCTTTTCTATACTGCTTTTGAAGGTGTGCCATTTTGCTAAATATAACTTTGGTGCTTTTTAGGTTCTAACTCTTAAAAAAGCTTTGAAAAATTTTCCCCTTTTTTCCTTTAAAAAGAACTATTTGAAAATCTTCCCTGTTGAATCCATTTAGCATCTTAGAAATCTATGGTTTGGCTCATGTAAATTATACTTTAAAACATCTGGAAAATAATTTCGAGGCATATTATTTAATGTATGACAAGATTCAGTATCTATAGTCCATCTGTTCAGTATAAGCAGTGAATGTCTTCACGTCTATGTGCTAAGTGTTGATAACTATGTCTCCTGCTAATTATCACTCAACCATGATGGAAAAGTGATGACTGTTTTAAACTTGTAGACATAGGTCCTATCAATCAATGGTAATCTGATTATTTAATTTACACCTTTTCATCACAGTAAGTATTCAGAATTAAAAGCTAGAAATGTGTATTATTCCATTCCTTAGTATGCTTATACAAAAATTAAACAATATTTAGCATGCTGAATTCATTCACAGAACCCTTAAAGAAGGACTTACTGCAATCTTAAAGATGATTTAGTGAACCCACCCAAATGATAAACAGAGGAAACTAATTCCTAGATGGGTAAGTGACATGTCCAAGGCCAGATAACAAATGCCAGGCAGGACTGGGTAAGGGAGCCAAATTTTATCAACTCTAATTTGTTCTGTCTTTCTTCTAAAACATGCGTCCTCTCAAGGTTTAATCAAAAAGTAGGGGAACACCTTGAGTTAGATAAATCAGACAAAAGAGAGGATTTATTATACCCC